CCAAAGCAGAAGTGAAGAAGGCATGGTCTGAGTTTCAGATAATCCAGAGGAATTTCTCGTGGACCTGCCTCTGCAAACACCTGTTGACCCGCTGCCCGCACCTCTTGGCCGGGGAACCTGTTGCTGTATCTCCTCCATAGCCCACAAGCCCCGGACTTCTAAACCGGGGTCGGCTACTCCTCACCTCTGAATTTCAGAACCGCGGACAGAGCTCCAAAGTGGCTCTCATTTCAGAACCGTGGACAGAGCTCCGAAGCGGGCTGTGGGATCAGCACCGTGGACAGCGCCACACACGGCAGATGCAGCCGTCAGCACCATGGGCAGTGCCCCCGAAGGCGATCCCTTTCAGCACCGCGGACAGTGGCTATGTTCCCCTAGGCTCAGGCAGCTCCATCCCTGCAACTTCCCGGGTTTCCCTCCCCAGCTCCCGGAGCGCCTCTGCACTGGCGGGCACCGAGGCAGCTCTGTCCTGGCTCTTCTCCTCTCATAATCTGGTGTTAGGGACATCGACCAGGCTCTCTAACTCTCATTCAGAACTAAGGTGAGGTCTGGAGGGAGCTCAGGAGGAAAAGTAGATAGTCCCGCATCTCCCGAGTCCCAAATCTCCCCAGCTCGCCAGCACGCTGCCCTAGACATGCGGCAGCCCCAGTGGGTTCCCGCAGTTCCAGGGTCTCCGGCACCTGGCGGCTCGGATCTGCGGTAGCCCCAGCATGCTCACCTCCAGCGAAGAAGACACCCTTGCGAGTGTAGATGCAGGCGAGGCTCATGATGTGCAGGTAGGACAGCCGGACCTTGTCCGCTTCGGCCAGCGGCAGCAGCTCCTTGAGGTTCCGGATCTCGGCGTTGATCTGGTCCCGGCGCGCCTTGGAGGCGCCCTTGGTGGAGCGGTACATGACCGGCGGCTGCGGAGCTCCAGCTCGGGCGCCCGAGCACCTGCGCTCCCGTCCCGACGCACCGGCGGCGGCTTCCTCCTCCGTGCTTCCCCTTCTCTCGCTCAGGCTCGTTCTCTGCTCTCCTGGGCTCCGCTCGGCTGCGCTGCCCCCCTTGCCTGCCTCACGCCGCCTTATATAGCTCCTGCCAGGCGTGGGGGGCTCGTTTTAGAGCGGGGGGGCGGGAGAGCGGGAGGCTGGGCTAAGCAAGCTGCAGCGGGAGCCGCTGACTGGGGAGGGGGGCTCCTCCTCCCGCCCGGCTTCCGACGTCATCTCATGACGTAGAATGAGAGCGGGAGGGGGGCGGGCGAAGGGGGAGCAGGAGGCTGCGGAGGGGGCCGAGCCTGGAGGGAGCTGAGCGGAGAGGCAGGCGCTGCGTTAGGAAAGCTTGAATGGGGTGTGGGGACCCTGGCGTCCGAACGCGTACAGTTGAGGGAAGCGACAGGACCAGGGTTAGGGCGGCCTGAAGCCCCCGGCAGGAGTTTGCAGAGGGCAGAGAGGGGCCGGCACTGACACTAATTTTTCTGAGGAGTTGAGGGAATGGGGAGGAATAAGACTGTCTACAAACCCCCCTCGTTACTTGACAAACAAGGTCACGTTCACATGCAGGGAAGGAGGACTTTCCTTGGCCTCCGTGGGACAGGTCACAGCTGGGGTTCCTCTCTGGGGACTACTTAACCTGGGATTCCCTTGGCCATTTTCAAAGAAAAAATCCCCACCCCCGCTTCCCAAATTGGGACTTAGCGGCTAATCAGGGGGTGTTCGTGGGGGTCTAAGTCCCTAGGATGGGTGGAAAGGGAGTCCGGTGGGAAAGGGACCAGCTGAATTTGGCGCTGATCCTGTTTTCCCACAGCCAGGAATAGAAACCAACACCAGCGCTGTAGTCTGCAGTGATTCTTGGTTTCCCTCTCAGCTAATTAATCTTACTGACAGGGGAAACTGAGGCAGGGACGCGGGACACGGCGAGGACCTGGGTCTGCACTTAGGCATCCCTTCCCCCCGTTGCCGGCCCCCAAGCGAGCGCTTCCCCCCGCCCTGCTGCCAGCCTCGGTCTCCCCGCGGGCCGGGGGCGGGGGCGGGGCCGGGGGAATCCCAGCTCCATATTAGGACAGGAATCCTCCGGCGGCTGCCGCGGCTGCGGCGGCGGCGGGCGGGGCCTCGCTGCCTCCGCACCGCTCCGGAGGGCTCCCCGCCCTGCCTAGGCGGGCAAGATGGGGGAGCAGCTGAGAAGCAAAGGGACAGCGCTGGACCCTCTATGACCCCTGCACCTACCAGGGACCGTGTATTTTCGCCAGGTTCCCTCCACCCCCTCCACATTTGCGGCGCTAGGGCTGCTGGCTCTGCCTCTCCACCTTCAACTCTCCACTCCCCACCTTCGTTTCTTTTTTCTCTTAGCGTGTTTGGTGGTCGGCTCAGCTTAGTGCCTTGACCCCTGAAGCTTTCCCTTTCCTTCTTCTCCATATCCTGTCACCTTTGCTTTATCCCCACCCCTCACGCCCGCTTTTTTCTCTTTTCACCACAGATTATTGCTCTCTACAGGGGCAAGGAGGTGCCGTTCTTACCCCAGGATTCCATAATGCAAGAAGCAAGTGGGCTAGGGAATGTTCTTATCTGAAATCTCGTTTGATGGAGTAGCTGTGTGCGCATGGAATCGCTTAAGAGGCTGGAAATGAGGCCACTTAAAAATTAGAGGGTGGGACTGGGAATTCCCAGTCACACAGGAAGCATGGAGATGAACTTTGACATCAAAAAGAACAGCTTGGGGCCAGGGAACTCCCCACTCCTCATGGAAAGGGGGGATAGCAACAGAGGTAGAGTGGGAGGAGAGGCAGCTGAGAAGAAGTATATCTTAGAAGAGGGGTACAAGGTGTGGAGACCCTATTCTTGTGTCTTATGCATTTTGGCAGAGGTTGGGGCCATCCTGTGGTCAGTGTCGCAACTGAGGTGGAGGGAACGATGTCCGTGTGTCTGTCTGCCACAGTCTCTAACCCTATTGATCTGGATGACAGAGAGATGATTCCTCCTGGACATGGGTCTGTGTTGCTTCTTTCATCTCAATCTGACCTCTAATGTACCTACCCACCCCTCTCTCAAGCTTGCATTTCAACAACCCTTGATCTTTGGATCCCCTTCCGTATGAAATTCCAGGGGAGTTGTTCCTGTGTTCTTCACCCACTGATGATAAAGCTGCCTGTGAGGCATTCTGAGTGTCCCTCTCCACGATAAGAGGAGTCTACTGGCTGGGTCCCATGGCCTCCAGCAATCTGAGCGAATCTGCAGTGAAGGAATGGGGTGCCAACCGCTGTCCGTGGTGCTGAAAGAGCCACCGGGGAAGTCAGGCTACGATTTGCCGGGGACATCGAAGTAGGGCTTTGGGTACCCACAGGCCTCAGAGTGAGCCTCCCCTTTGACTGTCCCCTTATTTTCTGTGAATGAATATGGGGGTTTTGCAGGGAGCCAAGATTTCTGGGCTCTAGGGGTGAAGTAAGCAAGGGAGGAAAACTGGGCTCAAGGGAAGAGCCCCTGGCTTTTTCCAGAAGAATGGAATGGGAAGAAGCACTTTGGAAGGAAAGAAGGGTCTAGAAAGGGACAAGGGAGGGGGTAGAGAAGGGCTCATCCTAGTTCGCCCACTCTGATTCAAGTTGAGAAGCTCTGTATGCCCCGATGTCTCCTCTCCCTAGGCCAGCTCCCACTCCCCTTGCCTCCCACCTCCGTGAAGCTATTTTTAACCGTGCAGAACCAAAAATAGCTTGGCAGCAGCTTCAGGCCGTGGGAGAGGAGCTATTTATATCACCAGTGACGGTTCCGAAATAGCAAGCAGGAGGAGGGGGGCGGCTGGCACACTAGAGAGCTCCTGGCCGCTGCTAAAAATACTGGCAGTGTGAGTCATCCTGGCCTGGCTGAGTCACCCCACTCTCTCCCCCAAGTGGCAGGCAGCAGCAGCAGAACAAGCTAAGAATTAGAAGCCTGAGATGGGGGAGGCATCAGAGCCTGCTGGCTGTGGGAAAGTGGGCAAGGGAGTGAATTGGGAGAGGGGCTTTGGGGTGAGTGTGTAGAAGGAATGGGAGAGCACAGCCTCTCAGCCAAACCTACTGGGCAAGCGTGCAGCATCCCCAGCTATGCAATACCACTTAAGGATGCTTGGGCAATTGAAGGAAAAGAGCCAGACTGTGTGTGTGTGTGTGTGTGTGTGTGTGTGGACACGCCTGTGTTCATTTGACTGAGACTGTGTTTGTGTGTCCTGTGTGTTTGCCTCTAAACCTGTCTGAACGTGGTTGCACGTCTATATCTCTATCTGTTTGCATGTGTCTTTGTAGCTGCATGTCTGTACCCCTATATATCTATGTGTTTACCTATGTCTGCATCTATGTCTGTCTTTTTTTTGGTCTCCAACTTCTTATGTTGTGTGCAGTTCTATGTTTGTGCCTGTGTGTATTTATGTCTACAACTTTCCATATGCCTCTCTGTCAGTGTCTGTGTTTGTGTCCATATCTGAGTCTGCTCTGGGTCTTTCAGCATCTGATGGCGTGGTGGGATGTGCATGCATCCCCAGACTCAGTATAGCTTCTGTTGCCCTCTCTGATGTCACCTGTTGGGCTCCTGCACCATCTATATCTTGCTCACCCCTTTCCACCTAGCATATTCTCCTCTTTCCAAAGGCCCCCTGACCATTTACAAAGCTCTCTTGTTGCATGCAATCTCTAGTAAAAACATGGAGGAAAGGAGCCCCATATGACCTCTCCCTTTTCTCTTGAATCATCCTGAATTCTCCCTGGCCTGCAGGAGTAAGTGGTTTTCCATCACTCCATATTTGGAGAGCTGAGAGAAGAGAAGGGCTTTCTTTAGTTCTAAAAAAAAAAAAAAAAAAAAATCCTGGTGTGGGCACAGGCATGCGTAGCGCGCATGCACACACACACACACAGGCGCACATACACATGCACGCACACACACACAACTGAGAGAATGAGAGAGAAAAAAAAATCAAGGTCCCTTCTTTACTGAGAAGAGCTCGCATCTGTTGCCATAGCAACCCACCCACTCCTTCCCCGAAAAATCACCAAGAAGAGGTGATGGCATCGAGGAGGGATTGGCTGATTCCTTTCTTTATTATTTTTTCCGAAAAAGGGTTTTTGTAGCAAAAACGGGCCGTGAGTTCCCTTGCCCCTGTCTTGCACAGCTTTATTGGGAACCTGGGGGAGGGGCATCACCCCCCAGCCTTTATCAGAGAAGAGGAGGTGTATCTTTTCCAGAGATTTGGAGGAGGATTATCTCCTGGGAAGGAGTTGAAGGGTAGCTGAGGAATCTGCTTCTTCAGAACAGCATGGAGACGCCTGGCTGCTAGTCTGGAGATATGGAGCAAGGATCTTGACAGAGGGCTGTCAAAGTGTGATCTTGTCTTGCTCTGGACAAATGTGTCTACGAGAAAGAGAAAGGGGGAGGAAGGGAAGGGAAGTTGGGAGAGACAGAAAGAATATGAATGAATGAATCACTGAATGGGGCTTCAGAGAAAATGACAATATGCCAAAGGATGAAAGCTTGCAGTAGTGGTCAGACCAGACAGGTGGGCAAGATGGTCCAAGAAAGATGCATTGATGCAATTGGTGGTGCTGCAAGTCACCAATGAGACCACAGCTGCAACTACTTAACTTGTGGCCACAGGTGAATGTTCCAGAGGAGCACTGACGCCCATTTTTCACAGTTCTATTCCCAGCCTGAGTCTCAAAGGCCTCCTCCAAAGCCTGGCCACCAGCCACTGCAGCCACATCACTCTCTCAAGTGAACTGTAGCTTCCTGCCAAATGACTGGATGGTGGAAAGAAAGGGATTCCTTGTTTCCTCCTGTGCTTGGCTTGCTACAGAAATGGGATCACTTGGGGCTCGAGCTTGGAAAGACAGATGAAGAATCTGACCCTGAAGAGAGACACCTTCTTTTCTGGCAGGCTGCTGCCACCCTCAGCAGGCAAGGGCATGGCCAGGTGAGGTTGGCATGGGCAGTGGGTGCAAATCCACTTAACATTATGGAGCAGAGGGACAAAAAGACTCCAGATTTGCTCTGGCCTGTTAGACACATTCTCACGACAAATCTCACTGATATCATTATTTTTATTTATATACAGTCTTGTTCTGTCATCTAGACTAGAGTGCAGTGGTCTGATCATAGCTCACTGCCACCTCAAACTCCTGGGCTGAAATGATCCTCTGTGTCAGCCTCTCGAGTAGCTGGGACTACAGGCATAAACTACTACACCCAGATAATTGAAAATTTTTTTTCTGCCGAGGCTGGTCTTGAACTCCTGACCTCAAGCAATCCTCCCACCTTGGCCTCCCAAAGTGCTGGAATAACATATGTGAGCCACGACACCCAGCCTTGACTGATATTAGGATGCTCATTTGATAGATGGTGAAACAAAGGCTCGGAGACGGATAATGACTTAATCAAAGTCACACAGCAAGTCTCTGGCAATGCTGAGCCTCACCCCTAGTTCCTGCTCCCAACCCAAGCTTTCTCTCTTGCACCACATGATAGGGCTAGGGTTTACAAACTATGGACTGCAAATCTAGCCTCATCTAGCCTGCTGCCTCTTTTTGTAAATAAAGTTTTATTGGAATACAGTCACATTCATTCATTTACTCATTGTCTATGGCTGTTTTCACATTACAATAGAAGAGCTGAGTAGTTGCAACAGAGACCACATGGTTCAAAAGCCTAAAGAACTTTTTGACCCTTTTTTACTAACTGATCCTTTAGAGAAAAAGTTTGCCATCCTTAGACCAGAGGATGAGTTCACACCACGAATATCTCCACTTGTTTCTCTTTCTCACCCAGAAATCTCTCTTAACCCAGGGTATACCAAGCTATCATTTCAACTCCCTCTACTGTTCCAAATGCCAGGGAGAAGTAGTGCTCCTGCACAACTTAAAGGAGGAGAGGTGGGAAGCCCAATGGGCCAGGCTTTTTATTGGTTTCCAGCCTCCTTTGTGGCTGTGGAGATGTATCCTCCCCATGCAGGATGACGCTCCACTTCCTGCAACAGGTGTTGGAAAAGGCAATGAGGAGACAGGGTACCCTATTCCATCCCTATTCCAACCCTAGTCTGCAGGACTGCATTTTGGGCAGGGGGTCTCAGGGCTGGTGATTAAGGCATTGTAAGGAAGACAAAATTTATGTATGGGAGGAAAAGGAAGGTATTGTGGGATCTTGGGCCTCCCGAAGCCTCCAGTCTGACCCAGGGGAAGAATCTCTGTATGTCTTCTCGGAGATATTGATTAAATTGCCCAGGATCACACAGCTAGAATGAGATACATCCACAATTGAACTCAGATTTTCCTGACTTCTACTTTGTTTTTTTCTAGGTTGTTCTTTTGAATTGGTGGATTTGAAACCAGGGAAAGGTTTTCTAACAGATTCCTAAGCACCTCCCCATCCTGCGTCCACAGCTCCGCGGTCAGTGCAGCGAGAATAGGAAACCCACGCAGAGCTGGCTTGTGCAGTGGCCGTGTTGTCTTCCGCTGCATCTTAGCAGGCTGTTTTCCTTTTCCTGAGGCCTTTTCATTATGCTATCACTCCCTCAATTCTACTTGCACATGAAAGCATTCAGAACATTTTATCTATTTATGGTTATGAAATCAACAAAGCTCATGTAAAGAGGGTGCAGGCTGGCACCCACGCGTTGAGACGGCCAGAGCTGGGTGAATGAGCTGAGAGCCAGGAAGGTGAGGGACATAGAACCATGGAGGGGGTGGGAGGGGGAGAGTGGAGCCCAGGTGGGAATAGATGAAACTTTTGTGGGCAATGTCCTGAAGGCAGGGCTGAGAGAAGAGGACGCAAGGAATGCAGTGAGGAGCAAGTCAGAGCAGCCACATTTCAAGAGGGGAAAGAAACCTAATCAACTAAAGCCACTTTTCAAATGCAGAGCAGCGGCCACTTTGTGCCCTGGGGAGACTGGAGGAGGCGGACTTTCCTCACATTCATTTTCATAGTCGTCTCCACCACCACTCCCAGCTGGCGAATTCTGGCCCTGCTGGTCCTCCAGTGAAGTCCGGGGACCCCCTCAGTGCCTCCAGCCCCCGTGCTTCCTCGTCACCACACTGCACTCTGCGCTGTCCCTGCATGTTTACTTGGCTGTCTCCCCTACCAGCATCTACATCTGGTCTTCATGTTCCCAGCATCCAGTACAAGGCCTGACATAGGGCAGGGGCTCAGGCGAGTAAGTCATTCATGCAACAAACAGCTGAGGGTGGAATTTGTGCCAGCCTCTGCAGTGACGTGATGGTGCCACATACAGCTGGTCTCGGCCTCATGGAACCTGCCGGCTGGTGAGAGAGCAAGGGGTCCATCCAGCAACTTCAGTGGGATACTGCTGTCAAGGAGGCATACTGGGAGTTTGGGGAGAGCAAAAGGAGGGGTGACCCTGCCTGAGGAGTCGGCACTGGCCTCCCCAAGTACGTGCATTTGAGTTGAGCTGCTGGTAGCAAGTCAGTGCTGACTGGGCCAGGCTGTGCTGGGTGGGTGGCTGGGTGGACAGAGGAGTGTGGCCTCATAAATGAGACTTGACACGGTGCCAGGTAGCCACAAAAGAAACCACTGTAGCTGAGGTTGTGTTAACAGGGACAGGCAGCAAAAGTGGAGAGAGGGCAGCCTCTGTTAGGGCTGCTCTAGGAGGTTTGGCTCTAGAACTTATGCTCTGGGTCCAAACCTAGCCTTGAGCACAGCAGCCAATGAGGAAGGGCCAACTGCACCCGAGGCTGTGAGGCAGGGCCCAGGGCATCCCCCAGGCCTGACTCTGGTAAGCCCTCCAGCTTGTCTGGCCTCATGCACCCCCTTGCCTCTCTTCCAGCTACATAAGCCTTCTTCCAGTCCCTGGCCTGCCACTCTCCTGGCCACCACAGTGCCTTTGCACATGCTGTTCCCTCCCCTGGGGTGCCGCTGCCTCTCTCCTCTGCCGAGTTCTTCCTATTTTCCCCTGTTAGTTCAGCCCAAATATCATCTCCTCTGGAAAGCCTTCCCTGACCTTCCCGATGAGGCCAAATCCTCAGCTACAGGTTCGCAGGCACCCCAGGCCTCTGTTGGCACTTGGCGAAATGGCGATTTAATACTTTATTTTGGTGAGGAATTTATTGCCTCTTCTCCACTAGACTGTGGTCACCATGGCGGGGACCGTGACTGCTTTGCCCACTGTTAATTCCAGTGTGGAGTAAAGTGCTTCATAAACATTTGTAAGAAATGTTTAAAAGATGGAAGGAATGGAGAGATGTTCCTCAGAGAAGAGGAAGCTTGAGGGGTGGTGTGGCATTTGCAGACGTTTGAAGGACCATCAAGCGGCGGTGGGAGAGACATGGTCCGCATGGAAAGGCCAGCGGGCAGGGATATACCTGGGGCAGGAGGGGGTGGCAGGGGGAGGAGAATCTGGGCTGAGTCCTGCCTCCTCCACAGATTGTTTCTGTGATATTGGTCAGTTAAGTGACTTAACATTTTGTGCCTCAGTTTACCGATTTGTTAAATACAGAAGTAGGGAGAATGATGGCACCTCTATCAAGGGACTTATGTGAGCATTAAAGGAGTTAAGTAGTTAAAACACTCAGAAAATGCCTGATGCATAAAAGGAGCACAAGAAATGCTCAACGGCAGAATGTTGGTCGTTATCTTAACTTTATGAAAAATATAATTTTGAACAAGGCTATGCAGAGACTGCACGGGCTGGTTCAGGAGGCAGCACATGTACTGGCATTGCAAGTGTAGAAACAGCCTGGGTACCCACTAGCAGCTTTGGTCCAGGCCAGGTGTGAGAGCACAAGATGGAGTAAGCCAGGCTGGGGCTGTAGCCTGGAGAAGTCAAGGGATATACTCAAAGTGCCCCTCAGGGCTCTGGCTCAGGCCCCAGCAAGCTTCTTCCCTGCGCAGCAGCTCCCCATTCACTGCTCACCAAGTCAGGGATGGAGGGCCTGGGCTAGGCCCAACACACCCCTCTGGTGCTCAGTAGCCCAGCTCCCCTTGCCATTCTTCTGGAAGCCGACCTGACCATGTTCTTCCCAGCTTAAGACCCTTGTGGCTCCCATTATCTCTGATTACTAAAAACTCCTCCAGGCTGGCACCTCCTTTCTTCCCCTTTCACCCACAGGTGCCTCGGCCTCCAGAGGCTCCAGCTCCAAGTCTCTCCTTGTTACTAACAGGGCACAGCTCGTAACATGGGAGTTTACAGATGTGGCACCTACTCATACCTTGTGTACCTGATGAGTGTATTAATTCATGAAAACCTCACAGCAGCCCTATGACATGCCTGCCATCATTACTCCCACAGGCCCTGGGCCAGCAGAGAGGGAGTCTGCAGGGAACAGTCCAGGGGGTCCCAGGAAAGACTGATGGGGTTTAAGGCTCCAGTGGTCAGAGAGGGTCAGGGACTGGGCCTAGGGGCAACAAAGAAGAGACCCCCACGAGCTGGGAGAATGGTGCTCTCCATGCCTGGGAATGCGGGAACCACAGGGAGTTGGGTGAACCATGGTGAGCAGGGGAGAGTGACCTTTACGGCTGAGGATGGAGCAGCTTCTGAAGCCAAGAAGGGCTGAGCACTGGTGGGAGGGGAGGAGCACTAGGAAGCTTTGGTGGAAAGGACCATCAGGTTGAAGGGAAAACCCCTGAATTGCCAGCCCTGACAGACTGTTAGTTCGGAGAGTCTTCTGCAAAAGGAGTCCAAGGTCCAGGAAGCAGAAGAGGTGAGCTCAGTCTAGATGTCAGTGGATTGTGTTTGGTGCAGGGGAATAGTTCTGAACAGGAGCAGCGGAAGATGCAGATTCTGTTCCCAGCTCTGCCACTAGCCTGCTGGGGGTGTTCTGCAAACCTCTCCCCCTCACTGGGCCTCAGTTTTTGTATTTGCAAAATAGCAGTGGGTCAGACCCCTTAGCCTCAAAGGGCCCTCCCAACCTCTGGTACTTGAGCATCTCTGAGCCTGCTGGGCCACCTGTCCCAGTGCCTCTTGAGCTTTGGAAGTTGAATGCTGCAACCCCAAGCCCCAGTTTCAGGTGGGGATGAGCCCATTGCCCAATGCTAGGGTCCGAGTGGGCCTGAAGGCTCCCAGAGGACCACGTCCTCAGCCCTGGATGGTCAGGGACCCTGGAGACCTGGCCTGTGTGGACACAGGGGAATAAGTACTGGGACTGAGCCTGTAGTTTTGCTTCTTCCACCCAACCCATTGGGGGTCATTCTCACAGCTTGGTGCTAGGTACACCAGGGAACTCACCATTGGAGGGATCCGATGGGTTCCAAGGTGCACAAAACAGACTCCCAGATCATCCTCAGGTGGTCTACACAGCCTGTGGCTAAAGCTACTGCTGTCTCCAGCACTTCTTAGCTTCAGTCTGGTGAGAGGAGGAAAGTTCCCTCCGCAGTGTCTTACAGGTGGCCACAGAGGGCCCCCACAGCCTGGCCAAAATGCTCAATTTCAGAAAGTCCCAGACTCATAATTGGAGTGAGGGCCCTTGAAAGATGGTCTTGGATGACTGAGGCCTAATGCAGAGAGTGGAGTGACCCAAGTGACTCACGGCCAGCACTTGGTGGAGGTGAACCCAGACTAGGTCCTTGGTTTGTGGTGCAGTGGCCATGCGGGCCTCCCACAGGCTGGCCTCTGGGGTCCAGGTGCTGAGAAGCCTGGGCCAGAAGGCGGAGCTCTAGGTCCTAGTCTTAGCGGCACCCTGACTTGCTGTGTGACCTTGGCAAATTGTGTCTGTCTGAGAGCCGCCTGAGTCTCCCCCTCTGCACTGAGGGCTTGGCACTGGGGGTGGACGCTCCATTGTAGCACCATTCAGGGTCCCAGGGCTAGCTGTACCAGAGCAGAACCTTCTCTCCTCGCCACCCTTGGAGCCCTCAAGTGCTGCTTGTGTGTTCTTCTCCACCTCTGGGTCCTCCATCCCAGTCCAGAGAGGGGCCCAGAGATGTCTGGAATCTGCAGCTTCTTGAGAATATGTCAGGCACTTCCCAGCTGTCGTCCCAGGTCCCTGTCAAACACCTCCAGGAAGTGCTGCAGGGAGAGGGCAGAAGTCAACAGGACCAGGCAGGGGTTCCAAAGGGCTGGGTCCACTTGACTCTGGGGAGCCCTGCCAGACCCCTGCAGGCCACACCTACATCCAGAAGCAAACTGGTCCTTGTAGGCAGTCTGGGGAAAGGTTTGGTTCCAGAAAGTTCCAGAGCTGGTGGCTGCAGGAATCCTTCAATGCAGGCGATGTTTGCAAGCAGCAGCAACCTGGTTGGTCTGTCGTGGAGTGGTGTCCAGAAGCTTCTCTAAAAACCCCGCCCAGGTCCAGACTGTGCTGGGGAAGGAGAGGCAGTTGGTGTCATGACAAAGGTGTCCAGCCCCTCTGCTTGGTGCAGGGCAGAGGCTGGGGACTGGCATACGGGGCTGGCTAAGCTCAACCATAAGGAATGGCCTGACCTCTGGCCAGGAGGTCAGCAGCCGTGGGCTCTAGCCCATGCTCTCCCTCCAGGAACTAGTCAATCACTACTTTTCTCTGGGCCTCAGTTTACCTTCCAGTTTAAGGAGGAGGTTGGAGTAACTGGTAAGGGGCTTTCCCGGGATCCTAACTCTGCTCCAGGCTGAGCACAGGGAGAAAAAGGTTAAGGGGCCGGGGGGCCTGGAGGGAGGCAAAGGTCTCCAGGGTCCCATGGTGGCCCCAAGGGTAGTGAAGTCCTCACCTGGTGTTTTCACCCTGTGGCCTTGTCCAGAGAGGATCCCCGAAGGCGCTAGGCCTGGCATCTCGTTTCTTTCCAAGGTTTGGACAGAAGTCTCCCCTGTTGGAGGAGGGGGGCGGGGGCGAGGGGCAAGGGCAGGACCTCCCTTTTCCCTGGTTGAAATGTCCCCATAGAGGGTGGGGGGCGCTAAGAT